AGTGAAATAGTACTTCTTCAACTTTGCTTGTCTTTTAATAGGGTTCCTCAAACATGTAACGCATGATTACTTTTCATATAATTAATGTGCTTCAGTAGTAGATGATTCATATGAACAATCAGATTCAAATGATTATGTGATTTTCTTCTAGTAATAAATTTCACAAAAATAGCGCACCTTGCATGTGGATATAAAAACACTGAAATAGCCACAAAAAATCATGGTTATTTATAAAATTTAAATAAATAAATATGTAAATTAATGAAATAATATTTATGATTTCATTTTATTATTAGAAAATGCAATAGTATAACGAATTATTAATTTTTAAAATATGTGATAATTAAAATGTTTATATAGCCTGAAGTATGAATGATGTTATAGCTTTTGAGTAGATATGAATGATGTTTCCAATAAAAATGTAAGCAAACAGCAGTGGCAAGCACTTGACCTACTCATCAGTTCATTCTTCTGTTGGTTGGCTTCGAATTCCCGCTATCACGAACACGTGTCTATCGCTTACTAATCAGTCTTTCCCTGTATATTTTTACTTTACACCCATACATTATGCACAATCGTTGTTAATACTAGCCGCTATTCTAACATATAGAAAATTAGATAAAAGAAAAAGCCCACTAAAAGAGTCGAGAACAATTATGCTCTGTTCTTTATTTACCCTGTTTTTTGTTGTACATTTTAACATCAGCATTACTGATTCAAGTCATATGATATTGCGGCGATCGCAACGCTCGAATATGCCATCTGGGGAGAGACCGGTTTCATGCCATTAGCCTTCCCTCTCCTCCTCTTTTCAGTTGTATTGTTGTTGTTGTTACTTTACGTCGCACTAGAGCTGCACAATGGGCTATTGGCGACGGTCTGGGAAACATCCCGGAGGATGATCCGAAGACATGCAATCACAATTTTGATCCTCTGCGGAAGGGATGGCACCCCCGCTTCGGTAGCCCGACGACCTGCGTGCGAATTTCAGTTGTATACGAATGTACTACGAAATTTTCCCTTTTCTTAATATTTTTCCTTTTTATTTAATAAAAATATTTCTTTAAAATTTCCATGATGTTTTTCTGTAGAACTATGTTTAACGTAGTTTTCAGTTCCATATAATTTTCCAACTTAAAAGATTTTAATCTACATGAAAATCAAGAGAGAAACTAACTTTACTTCATTCCTCTATGACTCTCCACACGCTAATGGGGAAAGCATGCGAAGTGTTGCCATAGGTAGAGAGTTCTGCTGTACGCCACCTGCAGCCCATTTCGATCCCCAATAGTAGTTAAAACAAAAATTGAGTTCTAAAACATGCCTTTTACAGTTTCCCCTATTTATCTAATTGATACAATTCACTTAAAAAACCTATTAAAAAAGGGGAAAAAAACATATTGAAAATAAATAAAGTGATTCTGACATGATTCACATCGGGACTAAAATCTTCTTTTACCAATTCGCGATCGCAACACTCGAATACGCCATCTGGGGAGAGACCGGTTTCATGCCTTTAGCCCTTCTCCCTTCCCTCTCCTCCTCTTTTCAGTTGTATAGGAATGTACTACGATAATTTTCCTTTTCTTAATATTTTTCCTTTTTATTTCATAAAAATATTTTTTAAAATTTCTATGATACTTTTCTTTAGAACAATGTTTAATGTAGTTTTCAGTTCCATATAGTTTTTCAAGTTAAAAGATTTTAATCTATGTGAAAATCAAGAGAGAAACTAACGCACTTCCTTCCTCTATGACTTTCCACATGCTAATGGGGAAAGCATGTGAAGTGTTGCCATAGGAAAAGAGTTCTGCTCTACGCCACCTGCAGCCCATTTCGATCGCCAATGCTAATCAAAAGAAAAGATTAATTTAAAAAAATGTTACATTAGATTTTGTAAAAAATAATAGATAAAATAAATACGACACGAAGTGAAATATTGGAAGTGGTTCAGTGATGTTGAAACCCATGCTTTTAAATTTTAAAAAAAACCCGGTACTGTCGAGACCATAGAGTTGAAATACTGGGTAGAGAGAGTAGAATAACCCCCGACCCGTGGACAAGATAAAGTCACGTGACTGTAGCCCAAACTTGCCGTTCACTGAGACCGCTTCGATTCCCGTCCATTCGTTTAGCATTGCGATCGTCTGATGCAATTAACTGTCTGTCTTTTAAACTCAGAAATAAGAATGGTACAAAAGTCCTGAGCATTTTGCTGCACGGAGAAGTTTTCTACGGACTGTCCGATAACTTTTTACGAGAAAGGGCGACATTTTTTTTCACTTTTTTTAGTTTAAAAATGATTTTAAAAAATTTCCGATACTCAGTCATGCTCTGATAATCATGTTTTATTTGCTTTAATAATCAATTACGCTCGTTTTTGCTCACTTTTTTTGCATTTAACATAAGTTTTTATTGTTTCTTAAACTTTAAACTTATAATGTTTAAGTATATTTCAATATATACTCTATTTTTAGCTGAAATAGCTGCAAAGCTTTGTTGGCTTCCTTGGCGAGATACTTTAGCGCCAAGGAACAGTTGAGTAAACTTTCGGTTTTGTTTTAGTTCTCTTTAAATGTCGATATCATTTCTGTATATTCTGAAGATTTTGTATATCTTTACCTCTTGATTACTAAAACCCAACATTTATCTTGTTCTAAAATGTTTCCTTTAAATATATATGTTTAAATAAAAAATATGGTACATAAGAAGTTGTGTTTTTTAAATTACATAGGAATGCCTAAAAACCAAATTATTTGTGTATTCTTATATGTTTGATGAATAATTTAATTCTATGAAATATTTTTAGTATTTAAATATAAAATTGTGTATAGTAGTTTTAGTGTTAATTTTTAATAAAATTATATAATTCTGTTACTATACATGAAATGAATACAAATTATGTACTATTTAGAAAATAAATTAAGGTATATTTAATATAATCATTAAGTACTTGTTTATCTTCTTTTTATTTAAAAATAGTTGCTATATTGGAAATACTTTATTTTACTAGTATATTAAAGCGTAGAATTAGTTTGATTTAGTGCAACAAATTTAGAAAACATAACATAGAAGTAGCTAAGTTGTATAGGAGTAAATTAGTGCAGTAAATTAGTGCATGTTATGCATTGGTATGGAATAAACTGCTCAGACGGCCAAGGCTAACAGCTGGTCGTGAACCTTTCTTGTAAAATTTCAACTGTTTTTACCTTTATATAGATTGTATATAGTTAATTTGCAGCTGGCTAAAGGATATAGTTTTAAATGCACTTACTATTTTTAAAAAAATTACATTTTTCATGGATGGGCATTGTAATTTTCTTAATGTCCATAAAATGATTATGGTTCTTTTATTTGTAAAGTAAAATATTTTTAACTGTTACTTTTTAAGTTACTGGTTTTCTGTATAAAAATTATTAAATATACATTGACCTATAATAGTTGCATAAATTAACCTCATAAAAAGTTGCATAAATTGCAATTTCTATCACAAATAAAAGTAAGATATTTTAATTATAAGTTCGTCATTAGTTTCAATCTACATTTAGTACAAAGTAAAAATTCTAATTGCTTTCTCCTTTATTTAAGTATTTTTTGTTTAAATTTCGAAAGCTTTTCTACTAGTCTCTTTGTGTGTACAATTCAAACTTCCTAGTAATTTATGGAATTAGATTGTACATGAAGTACAAAGTAAAATTTCTAATTAAACTCTTTTATTATTTTCTTTGATTAGTTTAATGCTTTTAATCTTATATTTTTCTCTATACGGAGCTGAAAACTTTTATATTAGAATAAATATTTAATTTCATATTTAGACAAATTGTTGAGTATTAAGCTAAAATGCAACAGCAGTTCATTTTTGAAAATATCTATTTTAAGTGTCAGGAAAAAAAGAAGTCAAAATTCTAAATTAATAATGTAAATAATCTTTATTGTATAAATAATTTAATGTATTCAATATATAAATAAAATTCTAAACGTAATTAAATTTAATCAAAAATATGTTTTCTAACTAATCTGTTCTACTAAAAACGGGTTTTATTTTCCCCGAAGCTATTTTTCCCGAAATTTGATATTACCTCTCGAGCAGTCTCTTGGTGAGCATAAATAAAAATGATAAAAGTGTTGCAACATTAACGTTATTTCTAAGCATCGAACTTTTTTCAGACAATCTGTTTAATTTTACAATTTGTTTTATCTAACAGTGATAAAACTTTTAAAACGTAAAGATTAAATTAATTTTTTAAACGAACTTGTGTTTCATTAAAAAAGAAGGGCAACATTTTCAAATTCACATTTTAAGCCCTGGTAGATTTAAAAAAAATCCTGATTTTTGTATCGAAGTTATTATTTTTTTTTAAAAAAATAACAATAGTTATTACAATATATATTAGTAATTTTTTTTTTTAAAATAGGTCTTTGCAATAAAAACATTTAAAAAAAAAATTTCTGAATATAGTAATAAATATAAGTGATGCAGAATATCGTTTTTTATTTTTATATAATGAATAAATTTTAAGGAATAGTGTTAAGGGTACAGACGAGAACTACTGAATTTTTTTAAATAAAGGCAGTACTTTAATTAAAAATTATTTGTTAAGAGAAAAAAAACTCCTCATGTTTTAAAAACCCATTTAATAATATTAAAGAAATATGATTAACGAAAATATTTTTTTTCTCTCTTTCAAATGCTCCGATTATTTGCGCATCGGTAATATCGAAATAAAGCTGTTTAAAAACTTAGTGCGCCAACATTTGTGATACTGCGCCAAGTATTGCACTTTTTCCATCACGTGATTGTAACTCTTTGCTTGCTATCTGTGGCGTGTCTTTTCGGAAGGAATAAAGCGAACTTGGTTCCTCTACCTACTATTTCAACTCTATGGTCGAGACCACATGAAATATTCAAAAGTGCTGAAGTAGCCAAATCCATAACGATAACGATGCTATTACGGTCGCGATGCGAATAACAATAGAATTAACCAATGAAATTTGTCTATTTTGGTCGGCTGCCAGACGTTTTTGCAAAAGCATTTAAATCTTGATCTAAGCAGAAAAAAGTGGTCGAAAACTTTCCAGATTTATATTTTACGTAAAGTAAATAAAGACTAAAATGACCGCTAATGCTTGACCGAGTGCTTCTGTAATTTTTCATGAAATGATAGCTTGCTAAGAATTTGGTTGTGCCTTCATTTAAATTGTAATGAAAGATAAAAGATTTTTATAAATTGTATATAAGTTGTAAGTGTCTATCATCATTACGAAATTTAAATTATTTTTGATAGAAAACATAAGCGAGATCTCGTGATAAAATTGAAAATAAAAATGACATCTTCAAAGGTAAAATTCATTTCATCCTTTTATGTGTCGACTTATTTTGAGTACGAGATAAGAAAGTATTTATCTCAAAATGAGTCAATTCTGGACGCATTTATATGGTAAAAGTGAGCTGCCGGAATTAATTTGTATTTACAATTTAAAACTTCCCTGTTATTAGCCAACGTTTGTAATACTTTCATATAGTTGTATGACAACACACTTGTTTGTTTAAGAATAAGCTAAAAAACAGGACTTTTATAGTGTAAAATTAAATTTATAATTTGCTGTAGTTTAGATTATTTTTGTTCTTCATTTTGAATTCTATAAAGTGTATATGTTTATCACATATATGTGTACTACGCAATTTTATAGTCATTATTGTTGTGCATTTTTTTAGTTAACCATCAATGAGCTTAAACGCACAAATGACTCCATAATGTAATGTTGACCAAACCAGTATTTACCATGGTTTTTATCAGCATTTACCATGGTTTTTAACCATCTTGAGAATTCTGCTGAACTTTTCAAAAGCATGTACCTTTTGTCGATCATAATTGATCGCGTTGATTATTTTCTATTTTAATTGCTAACTATTGAGATAAACATTCAGTGTCATTGGTGAAGTCAAATATTGCTGATTATTGTATGTATGCTGAATATTGTATGTAAGCAGAATATTGTACTTAAGCAGACTTTGTTGAATATTGTATGTAAGTAGACTATAATGCATACTTTTCAATTGTAATTTAAGAGACAGCTTACATCATATTATTTGTTGAATAGTTACTTAACCACAGATATATGTATATAAATGTGTAATTATCTTACAGTATGAAATTAATATATTTTCCCATTAGTTATAAGTAACAAACAAGTATATCTGTAAATAAATAAACAAGGGCTAATAGTATTTACCAGGTTTTCCCATGGTTTCAACTCATAAAAACCGAACCCTGCTATGGAGATGTCTATATTACCTAGGGTGACCCGGGGTAATTCACGATCACTCTATTTCTGGGGTAAATAATGATCACCTAAGTTTTATTTCAAATTTTTTTTTTTTTTTAAATTTAAGACATGGACAAGAATGCTTGTACACTTTACTAAGGTATAACTACATTTACTTAATAATAATTTTTTGTTTAATCTAACAAAATAAGTATCTTTTAAACTGCTTTCTGTATTTTCCATTTCAAAGATGGGTTTAAAAATGTACACATTTCTGCAAAGATCCACCTTCTTCTCTTAATAATAAATATTTTGAGTCACTTTCTTTTTCTTTAATATGAAAGTAGTGTAAGCTTTTGTTTAATTGTTTCACATCTACTGTTAACATTATAATTGATTATAGGAAACTAAATCAAATGTTGCCCCCTACACATGGGGTAATTATTGACCACTGGGGTAATTCCTGATCATTGTCATTTCTTCTTATAAATAGTATATAAAATAGCTTATAAATACCTAATTGTCTTTTCTTAAATAACAGTTCATATTTATTAAGTGGAACAACTATAAAGTATATTTTAATTGTCATCACAAAATTTGTTTTTAACCGTATACAAGACTGTATTCTGATTTGCACCATTTCTGGTTTGTCTGACCTTGCTTCTATCTTAATTTTATGT